CCTACTCCAGCTGATCTACTATTAAACCTTTGTTCCTGGTGCTTTATTCCACCAATGATCATACACAAACCCTGCAATGAAAATAAAAATGCAAGATGTGAATGGTCCAAGCACAAACAGGGGAAAAAAAACAACACACACCACACACACACACACACACACCCACAACCACACCCCTCTGAGGAGCCCCCCCACACTTTCCAAAGTATTCCATTTTTGCCCTAACTAAAATTGCATTCATTCAGAAATTTTCAACAAATAAGATACTGGATAGATGCAAACAGTAAAAAAAAACAAAAAAAAAAAAAAAAACAAACAACAACAAAAACACACAACAAACAAACCACACAGCAACAAAACTCCCACTGTCACATATTGTAACGTGGCATTGGCTCAGTAAAGGTTTCTTTCTGGCAAGTCGACTGTGCAGCTTATTTTTGTTCAATTGCCGCCGGATAGTGCTCCTCAAAACAACCACACATTCTTATACCAGAGCATCCTGTATTCCTCCTGAGGTTATCTTTGGCTTTTTCTTTGTATCCCTAACAATTCTTCTGGCAATTGTGGCTTTTGTCAGGGCCATTTTGACGATTTTTGTTATTTCCTTATAAAGGAGCCAAACAACTATGTCCCGCAATAGAGTGTAAATATTCAGTAGGCTAACACGTTTCGAGGACTTGCCTCTTCCTCAGAGCCCTCAGGGCTCTGAGGAAGAGGCAAGTCCTTGAAACGCGTTAGACTATTGGATGTCTACACTCCCTATTGCGGGCTGTTACTCAGCGCAGTGTTGACTAAGCTGTTCTTTTATGATGTGCCTTGACTTTGTCGTTTGTGAGTACAACACCTACTTTATTTCTTATTAAACATTTTTTATGGTAATGCACTAGGCCAGTGCGCCCTCTGTTCTTTCCTCATTCAGTATATTTGGATTTCCCCGGTCTATTGAGGGCAGCAAGGTGTGCATGTTCCAGGACATTCTTAATGTGGTTGTAGCCTGCATTGAGTCCATCCCCGAGCGCAGGAGCATTTGTGTTCGCTGATAAAAAAACGGAGCATACATGCCTCAAATAAAAGGATACCATGAGGCACGGAATCCTCATGCAAAAACTAAATAGAGGGAAAGTGCTTGGACCAGAGTGTCTGGACATAAGCTTATTCTGGGGTGGGGAAAAAAACCCCCGGACAGGGCTGGATCCAAGACTAGGCCCAGGTACCCCCAAGCGGCAAGTGCGATACAGTTCTGATTTTTTTTCAAAACGGAGGATGCATTCAAATCTCTGCAAAGTCTTCATCATCCATTGGCTGACTGTTTCTTCAGTAGAAGGCAGGCCAAATATTCCACTATGCAGATAAAGAATGAAACAGAGCTAAGACAGGAACAAGCTCCTTGGTGAGGACCCAAGATGTCAGACAGGCCAAGAAAAAGAAAAAAAAAAAAAAAAAAAAAAACACTGGTAATGCTGTGTGCCCACAATAAAACAAAACTGATGAGGCATGAAAATGGAGGTGTGAATAAGCATTCCTGATGTCCACAGAGACCTCGCCAGAAAATCCCCTTGCTGAAGGGTGCTTGTTGAATGACTGATCTGGTCGATTCCAGGGAAAATTTTTGAATCTCATGGGGGACAGTTTAGAATTTTTTACTCAAGAATGGGGAGAATGGCCTCTTTTGCCTTGGAGACCATGAACAGGTTTAAGTAAAACCACCAGAATCTTTCCTCCTTTGTAATGAGGCAATGACCCTTTAGAGAAGCTGCTGGAGAGCAGCATATAGACTCCCCTATTTTTACAGAAAGGATGGTAATCTGGCAGCCTAAAGCAGAGTTGAAGCAGACACTGAAAACTCTACTTTGTAGCCCCTGCATACAACACTCTCGACCCAAACATGTGGAATTTCTTGGGACCATATGAGGAAGGTTGCCAACAGACACCCCCCCCCATTCTGACAAGTGGGGGCACCCCTTATTTGAGAGGAGTACGCAGGTTCTCTGACACTGCAGGTTTTTAGGTTCAAGCCTAAGAGTTTGGACTTGGAAACCAAGGTGTGAAAGAAGTGAAGGTAACTTTTTTTTTAAGACACATGTGTCAAAGGCATAACTGCCTGTGTGTCTAAAGGAGCTATGGAGGCATTGTCTACCAAAGGGCATCCATATAAAGCAAACACTTGAGCCAAAGAATCACACACACACACACGAGGCTTATCTTGGATATTTGGGGTAATGCATGCACCAAGCCATCCACAGAGGCTACAGGTACCAAAGTCCAGGTGTTGGATGACAAAGATTTTTCAAACTAAATCCAGTTTCCCTAGTCATGAATTTGGACCAGAACGCTAGTCTGAAAAATAAGGTTGCAACAGTTGGTTGCATAGCCTGACCTGATAGGGAGGAACAAGGGCCATGCAGGTGCACTGTCGCATTGCTCTGGAGCCTAGCAACACTAATAAAATTGCACCAAAATGTAAAAAAAGTGAAGCTGCCCAGTCCCCTGCCGGCAACTACGTTGGAATGCATCGCAGACCAAGCTCATGGTTAACACTTCAGAGATCAGTGCACCAGCACATGGGACTCACTACAACTTTCTTCCTGTGGCTCTCCCAGCAGCCAAAGGATGTTAAAACTAAGCCCCATCCAAGTCTTCACCCTCCCAGTGGACATACCTACCTAGGGGGCCTTCAACAAGGCTCAACTGCAGATGCACTACAGCCCTGGGCTGGTATAGCATTCCGCACCTAACTGTTGGCACTTTACAGATTCTGAACAACCACCACTTGCCAAGGTGATTGCCTGAAGTAACATTACAGGCCAGCCCTGCATCTTTTTTTTTTGCAGGGCCCAGGTAAAGTCCTTCAAGGCGCAGCTGAAAAGTCAACCAATCTGGAATGCTGCAAAAAAAAAAAAAAAAAAAAAAGCCACATTAGCTCTGTAGCAGCTGCGAAGCGTTCCCCCCATGTGCAGAACACAACAAACATGTGGAAGATGAGACCAAAACTGAACTTTTTGACCCAAAAGCAAAACCACTAAAGCGTGGCGGAAAATAATACTGCTCATCACCCTGAACACACCATCCTCACTGTGAAACATGGTGGTGGCAGCATCATCTTGTGGGGATGCTTTTCTTTAGCAGGGACGGGGAAGCTTGTCAAAGTTGATGGGAAGATGGATGGAGCCAAATACAGGGCAATCTTAGAAGAAAACGAGTCTGCAAAAGACTTGAGACTGGGGCAGAGGTTCATCTTCCAGCACAACGACCCTAAACATGCAGCCAGAGCTACAATGGAATAGTTTAGATCAAAGCATATTCATGTGTTAGGAGAGGCTTCTTTCGTGAACGACAAACATGCATGCTATTGCTCTGCAGTGTGTCGTATTGTGTCATGGGAAACCCCAATTTGGCTACTTTTTTTTTAGTCAACTGCAGTGAACTTGCATGGTAATTTTCTTCAACCGTTCTTATCAGAAGATGCTCCTGTCGAGGTGTTCACCTCCAATGGACAACCTGGATGTCTCGGAGATGGTTGCAGTTCCGTGTTTGTATCACTTTTTCTATAGTATTCTGACTGATAAGTAAAGCTTTGCTGATCTACTTGTAGCCTTCACCTTTGTGTAAAAAAAATAAATTTTCTTCATCAGGCCTTGTGACATTTTTCTTCCATGTGGCGCCATTGCTGACAGCATGAAATAGGAAGGGGTTTTCTTTGTTAAATAATGCCATTTTATAATCAACTGTCTGCTGGACACCTGTTTAATGAATTTTAGACTGACCTGTAGTTGAATTAGGAGCATAGCTGAATTTTAAACAAAATCCTAAGACTTTCATTAGGGTGTATTATTTTTGCAACCAACATGGTCTTGAATTTTTTGTTAGGAAAAATACTACTTTGTGTGTGCAAATTAACAAATCGTGTTTGCAATCAATAGTCCGCATTTGTGGCATTATTTTGTAGTATAGTGTCCCATAGATTCTGAAAGGAAAGTAAAGGTTTTCTGACAAATCTGTACTCATTTATGCTAAGCAAATATAAATACACAATCACAAGATTGCCAAAAGTATTGGGGGGCGCCTGCCTTTACAAGCACATGAACTTTAATGGCAGGTCAGGCCAGTCAAGTTCCTCCACCCCAAACTTCCCTTCACTGGAACTAAGGGGCCAAGCCCAACCCCTGAAATACAACCCCACATCATAATCCCCCCTCCACCAAACTTTACACTTGGCACAATGCAGTCAGGCAAGTACCGTTCTCCTGGCAACTGCCAAACCCAGACACATCCATTGGATTGCCAGAGAAGCGTGATTCATCACTCCAGAGAAAACATCTCCACTGCTCTAGAGTCCAGTGGCGGCATGCTTTACACCACTGAATCTGATGTTCTGCATTGCAAACTTGGTGATGTAAGGCTTGGATGCAGCTGCTTGGCCATGGAAACACATTCCATGAAGCTCTCTACGCATGGTTGTTTTGCTAATCTGAAGGCCACACGAAGTTTTGAGGTCTTTAGCTTTGACTCTGCAGACAGTTGGCGATTTCTGCCCGCTATGCGCTTCAGTACACACTGACCCCGCTCTATCAGTTTATGTGGCCTACCACTTTGTGGCTGAGTTACTGTTGTTCTCATTTGCTTCCACTTTATTATAATACCACTAACCGTTGACTGTGGAATATTTAGTAGCAAGCAAATTTCACGGATGGACTTATTGCACAGGTGGCAACCTATCACGGTACTATGCTTGATTTCACAGCTTTTGAGAGTGACCCATTCTTTCACAAAATGTTTGTAGAAGCAGTCTGCATGCCTAGGTGTTTGATTTTATACACCTGTGACCATGGAGGTGATGGGACACTCCTCCAAATCATTGGGTTCAGGTGTTCCAAATACTTCTGGCAATATAGTGTATTCCTTGAAGTGCTTATAAAACCTAACTTTTCTTTTTCATAAAATAAATGGTAATGCACTGAGTGGCCGCTTAACCCCCCCCTTCTGGGACTTTACATGTTTGAGCTAAATCTGATGCTAAGCCCACATCATTCATTAGAGCATAGGTCTTTACATATCATATAAGGTGAGGATACTTACCAGACTGCTGGTCCATTGAAGATCTGAAGAGTGCTCTATCACATTGACCCCCTACTTTCTCATCCCCCGAGAAGCAATCGGATATTCCATGGATCAACTTTACCTACGTTAGTATCCAGTTATATTCTGTGTATCAAAGAAAGAATCCAGGTCCTTTTTAAAGCAATCCACTGAGCTGGGCAGAAACAACTCTTGAGGGAGTCTATTTCACATTCTAACAGCTCTCACTGTGAAGAAACCTTTCTGTGTTTGGAGATTAAATGTTTTTTCCTCCAGACATAAAGCGTGCCCCCTTATCCTATGTGATACCTCAAGGTGATCATATTCCCCCTTAATCTCCTCTTCTCAAGAGAAACAAAAATTCAGTTCCTCTAATCTTTCTCATAGCGGAGCTCCTTCATGCCTCTTATCAGTTTAGTTGCCCTTCTCTGTACTTTCTCCTGTTCCCCAATGTTCTTTCTGTGAATTGGTGCCCAAAACTGAACTGCATATTCCAGATGAGGTCTTACTAATGATTTGTACAGGGGTAAAATGATCTCTCTCTCTCTCTGGAGTCTATACCTCTTAATACAAGAGAGGAATTTGCTCACTTTAGAACCTGCAGCTTGGCATTGCATGCCATTATTAAGCTTGTGATCTACCAGAACCCCCAGATCCTTCACCATTGATTCACCCAGTTGAACTCCCCCCCTAGTATGTATGATGCATGCATATTCTTAGCACCCCCAAGTTCATAACCTTACATTTATCAACATTAAACCTTAGTTGCCCAATTAAACAGTGCATTGAAGTCGGCTTGCAAGTTGGAGACATCCTGTAAGGACGTTATTCCACTGCACAGCTTGGTGTCATCTGCAAAGAATGAAACTATATTTTTTAATCCCAGACCCTATATCATTTATAAATATATTAAAAAGTAAGGGTCCCAACACTGAACCTTGGGGTACACCACTAACAACCCTAGACCATTCAGAGTATGAATCATTAACCACTACTCTCTGAAAATTATCTTTTAGCCAGTTTTCTATTTACTTACAGATTTTTCCAAGTCTGTAGACTTTACCTTACACATTAGCCGTGTGTGAGGAACTGTGTCAAACGCTTTTGCAAAATCCAAATATACCACGTCCACCACCACCCCTCTGTCCAAGGTTTTGCTCACCTCCTCATAAAAGGAAATCAAATTTGTTTTACAACTTCTGTCTTTCATGAATCCATGCTGTCTGTTGCTTAAAATATTTTTTCCAGCAAGAACTCATCTATGTGGTCTTTTATTAAACTCTCCAGTATCTTCCAAACTATCGAAGCTAAATTAACAGGTCTATAAATTACTTGGTAAAGATTTTGACCCCTTTTTAAATATTGGCACCACATTGGCCTTAATCCAGGAGGTACTATGCCAGTCAGAGTTCCTAAAATTTTGAAACAATGGCTTTCAAACAACAGAGCTCAATTATTTAAGGACCTGTGGGTGTATGCCATCCAGTCCAGGTGCTTTATTCACCTTTATTCTGTCTAAATATTTTTGGATCATATCAACTGGGAGTCAATCTGGATCATCTGGAGCTGTCAATATCATGCCTATTATGGACAAGAGCTCCCCCATGCTCCTTTGTATACACAGAGCTGAAGAAGGTATTTAATAAAATTTCCCTTCTCTTTCTCCCCCCAGTCACCCACTCTAGATTATTTTATCAAGGGCCTACATGTTCGGACTATACCTTTTTACTATTAATATATTTGAAGAATTTTTGGGGGTTGGTCCTGCTATCTTTTGCATTCTGTCGCTCGGTTTCAATTGTTTCGGCCTTTATTTCCTTTTTGCATATTCGGTTATATTCTTTGTAATGTTTAAATGAGGATAGTGTTCCTTCAATTTTATATTTAATAAAAGTTCTTTTCTTATCTATATTTTTTTTTTTAAACTTTGGCAGTAAGCCACATAGATTTGATTTTTAGCCTTTAAACTTGTTGCCTATGGGAATATATTTTGCAGTGTTTTCACATAGTCTTTTTCAAGAACTCCCATTTCTGTGTTGTGTTCAGTGATGCCAATATTCCCTCCCAGTCTAAGTCTTGAAAAGCAGCTCTCAGCCTTGGAAAATTAGCTTTCTTAAAATTGAGTGTTTTTATTTTTCCTGCATGACCTTCTGAAGCCAGGTCAAAAAAAACTACCAGAGATGGAAACATTGCATCCTGCCTTGTTGCTGGGACATTGCTAAAGACAATCCCCATCCTCTTTCAGGTGTGCCCTTTCATCTGGTACAGTAGCTCTAAGATTAGCGATGCTGCAATGGAGAAGATAATGGACCACACATGTGCAAGGGTTTGAGAGCTCATTCCTGAGATGTGAGTGAGCAGTAAAAGCTGGAAGTGCCTTAGCACAGTCTTGGCAACAAAGCAGGAAGGGATGACGTCATGTCTGGGAGTATTTGGACAGGCTTTAAGATGTATGTAAATGGGCTACATCTAAGGCAAGGGCATTATCCAACTTTACTCAAATCTGCCCAGTTTATTTTTTTATCTATAGGCACCCCTTACCTGCATAGGCAATTTTTTAAAGGATGATACCCATGCTATAGTATCATGTACACTAAGCATTATCATGTAAACTAAGTGTTAACATGAATCAAAATTTGGGATAAATAAAAACTATTATACAAAATGTTTAAATGTTCTATATGTACTATTAGCACCTAAAAAGTATAACACACATCTAAAACTAATCCTGTGTCCTGTGCTGCACAATTAAGAAATAATCTAAAATGTGTGTACAGGTCCACAATTTGGATTTTTTTTTTATTTTTATTTCTTGAGGATATACAACTCTAATATATGAGTAGCTATAGGCATAGATATATTACTGCTTTCTAGCAAATCTGGTTCTTACTCATAATGCCTACAGGAAGCATCAGACTGGTGAAGATGGGTGAGATTTAACCATCTGCTGACAGCTCACAGTCAATATACTACGAGCGAGCAGCAGGTGCAGACACAATCACATTCATGTAAGCAATGTACTCCTTCCGGGTTTGGGGCATGCAGAATGTAAAAGTAGCACACATTACACATTGTTAGGCACACACAGTTAACACCTTGACTGCCCCTAGATCAGGGGTGTCAAACAATTTAATCGTGGGCCACATCAGCATTATGGTTGCCCTCAAAGGGCCAATTGTGTCTATAGGACTAGATGTTCAGAGTCAAGAGTACCCTCGCTTACATCACAATGCACCCCCCTTACCATGTGCTGCTGCAGGGAAGAAGCTGGGAAACAGAAAGTGCAGGGTCTGGAGGAGGACCTTCAGAGGAGGGCTGGAGCCAGCTGCCGAAGACTGCTGAATACCGAGACCAGGGGAGGTGAATACGAGGGGGTGCTGCAGCTTCACAGAGGTGCATTGTCTGTAGGAGGTCTGTTCTCTCTGCTGCTGACTGCTGAGACAAGCCTCTCCCCGGATGCACAGAGAAGCACAGGATCTGGTGGAGACGTTCTGTCTGCCTTTCTACTGCTGAAACAAGGTGGGTGGGAAGGGGGTACTGCAGCTGCAGGATAGGTGTGAGGGCCATATGAAATGGCCTGGCGGACCGGATTCGACCCGTGGGCCTTGTGTTTGACACATGTGCCTTAGATGTTAACACCTTACCAGCCAGTGTAATTTGTACAGTGTCAATGCACAGTATTATCACTGATACTGTATTGGTGTTACTGGCGGTGTCAGTGTACCTCCCAGTGAGGGTCTGTTATTGCCAGATTGTCTTCCACACTATCACATTCCCACTATAAAAGTCACTGATCACAGCCATTACAGTATAGTATCTATAGCTGCGTAAAGACCATTATATAAGAAAAACAGGGAAAAAAAACAAAAAAAAAAAAAAAAAAAAACACACACACACCACAACAATTTACACAAAAAACAATTATTTTGCCACTTATTGGGATTTTTATTTTTTAACCAAAGACATGTAGCAGAATACATCTTGGCCTAAAATGAAGATTTTTTTTATTGGATATGCTTTATAAAAGTAGAAAACATCACTTTTTTCCCCCAAAAGTGTTTAGTTTACATAATAAAAAATGAAAACCCAATGGTGAAATACCACCAAAAGAAAGCTATATTTGTGTAAAAAAAAATTATATAAATTTCATTTGCGTACAGTGTTGCATGACCGTGCAATTACCAGTTAGAGTAGCACAGTGCTGAATAGCAAAAATGCCCTGGTCACGAAGGGGTAAAACCTTCCGAATGCCAAGTAGTTAAAGCAGTATTAAAACACAAAAGCAAACATATTTCAGCTTACCGATCTTAGATGATAGTTTCATTAGTTTCCTTTTTTTAGGCTCTCTTCTATTTTCATCTGGTGATCCAGTCAATAAGTCTGTTTTCAACAGAAAAGCTCTCATGCAGTTACAGGGATGAGACATACCATTTAACACTGGTGGAGGTTCTTAAAATGTTCAGATTTATGTAAAAACCTTATCCTCAAAGGAAAAAAAAAAAAACACTTTAACTGATTCTAAAGTATTAACTGGAGTTCAGCTTCAATTTGTTACTGTATTTAAATATGCTAGTAAATCTAAACACCCCCTCCCCTCAACTGACAATGCTGCTGTCTAAATCTGCCCCCTGTGCTCATTCATCCAGTGTGATGTCTGTATAATAAAGGAGGTGTGTTTCACTAGGTGAAAACAGAGGGGGAAAAAAAAAAAAAGCTTAAAAGAGAAAACTGATGTAGCCATCACATCTAATGATTGGTATGCTGCAATATATTTCATTCTTGGTTTTTTGTTTGATGCTGCTTAATTTACATTAAAGCAATGCACCAAGGCAGGATGACAAATTCTGCAATATTAAAAAAAACTATTCAAAGACATGTTATAGACTCACAGGAACAAAGAGGACACACCCCAGTAATGTGCCGGTCAGAGCAGACTTTACCACCTCTTCATAGCACTTGTTATCTTCTCGAGCCCCCTTAATCAGTGCTGTGATGTAGAAAGTCAGTTCAATGATTGAGCCAAAAGTAGCATTCACCACAGCTCCCAGTGCAAAGTTGCTTTGAGCAGATATACTATATGATGCCATAAAATGACAAGAAAAATAAAAAGGAAACAAGTTATGTAAATGTATCTAGAGAACATAGACAGCACAGCGCCTGGCAGATGTGATCCAATAATTTTCGAAGAACCAATTTTACTGCTGCAAAAAAATAAATAAAAACTAAAAAAAAAAAAAAAAAAAAAAAATAAGGAATATGATAAAAAGTAAAGTAAACCTACATTGGAGGGCAAATATGTAGACTACTATTGACCTCCTAAAATATTGCTGCTGACCTCAATACCCTCAGTCACTGACCTGCAACAAGCAAAGCCAGTCTGAAGTTAAAATATCTGCTCTGCAATTTTGGCCTGTCTCTGTGGCCAAAGTCAGCCAAGCAACTAGCATTTTCAGAAGCACAGCAGTAAAACCATTTCTATCAGCACCTTACCTTGAAGCCAAGTCTTGGGATCTTTTGACGAGAGAAAAAGTAAAAACACAGTTGGGGATCATTGCATAAGGGGGAATAACAACCACATATTGCCTCAGATGACCAAACACTTGACCTTCCTTGAATCCTAAAACTTAATAAAAAAAAACAAACACAAAAAACCTAAAAGACCCCTTTCAAATAGGACTGCTGATCAAGTCTGTTTTTCAGGCAGATCTGTTCGTAAGCTTCATGCACGTCTATGGGCAGGCGAATGTAAAAGCGTGTCCCCTTACCTTCAAGTCTTTCCAGGTAAAAGAAAACATTTTTCTGCATTCTTTTCTGGTTTTCAGGACCTTAAACACGAGGGATCTAAAGTAGCCTTACGTGTATGGATGCAAGTTTGCGTTAATCCTGCTACCTATATATCTAATATGGGTCTGGAAAGCTCTCATCTTTAAACGGAGCATTGAATGGACACGGATGACACAAACATAATGCAATGCAGGCAGATTATGGCTGGTGGGTGTTTGGGGGTGGGGGGGGGCACATTAAAAGTGCCATACATAGCTTTCTAAACATCAAAAAGCACCTCGTCTCGGTACTTAGCCTAAATTAAAGCAATTGGCTTCCTCTTGTGAGGAGTAATTCAAATATCAAAAATGCCCTAAATGGCTGGGTGTCATTCCATTAATGTATTTGCATGGAGATCACTCTGGGTAATGCCCGCATGTGATGCTGAGCCTCCATGATGGAAATAATCGAAATATGAGGAATGAAATGGGTAGGCCAGCAACAGTCAGGCTGAGGAGAAAGTGCTAGATTACAGTGGACGTCCTCCAGCCAGGAAGACTGGTTGGCTCTATTAGACTTGCTGTAGCTTCTAATGCCCACAATTAGCAACCTACAATGTGCAGTGAAATCAGAGTAAGCACTTTCAGTACAGCAGAAGAGCCTGTACAACTGTGCAAGAGTGAAGGTAAAACTAGATTTCTGCTTCAACACTTAACCTAAGACTAAAGCCAAATACTTGCCCCAAACCTAACACCCCCCCCATTCACCCCTAAAATTCCAAATGTTACCTTAAAAACAGAACAATGCTATACTAACCTTATCAGACCCCGAATCATTCCAACACAAAAGACCAAGTGTCAAGGCAGACTGTACAGGATTTATTTTCTTTAATTCAACCAGCAGGTTGAAAGAAGGAAAATTACTTGATTCCACCATCCACACATTTGATGTAGATGAGGGAGTTCCACGGAGCTATTGTGTTCTGGCAGCGGGAAGAGTTCAACCCCCATCAGAATACATCAAGCAGTGCCAATGGCACTGATAGAGTGAACATTTTCTAACAGGTTGGGGGGGGGGGGGGGGGGGGGGGGGGGGGGGGGGGGGGGGGGGGGGGGGGGGGGGGGGGGGGGGGGGGGGGGGGGGGGGGGGGGGGGGGGGGGGGGGGGGGGGGGGGGGGGGGGGGGGGGGGGGGGGGGGGGGGGGGGGGGGGGGGGGGGGGGGGGGGGGGGGGGGGGGGGGGGGGGGGGGGGGGGGGGGGGGGGGGGGGGGGGGGGGGGGGTTGTACAGAAGTCCAATCTAGAGATAGACTTCTGTACAACCAGCCTGCACATAGATGGAGTTTGAGCCATCTATGGCCAACCTAATTTGGAACCCGTGCTGAATTGGTTTTGTTTTTGCAACTATTTTATCAATAGCACTAAATGAAAACCACAGTGACACATGTATTTCACATTTTGTCTGGATGTTTCTCCCATGACTCAATTGTTGCTTTATGATACACAAAGTAATAGCTAAAATGTATTAAGCCCTTACCTTGCAATTGCCATTCCAATATAGTAAGAAAGTGGCATTATGGAGATCAGAGAGAGCGTAAATTTCACAGGTGAACTGGCGTAATAATTGTGGATGTCAACATATCCAAGAACCAGTGACACAATCACCAACACAATTAGGTCTGTAAGAGCTGGTTAAGGAGATTGTTTTGCACTATCCAGGAAACCAAAGCCCTAGCAATTCCCACAACAATTAAATTTATCTTATGGTGTCTGCCTGTTGATAACGTATTACTTTGCTCAGGCTTTTAATATTCCAAATCTTTAATACACGCACCTGTTATGAGAGAAGTATGTAGGATGCCACTGCCAATCACCTTCTAAAAAAGCCAGTTGCCTTGCCAACCCTGAAAACCCATCTCTTCAGGGAAGCCTCTACTTGACAACTACAATTTTACTTTCTCCATCAACCTAGCTTCACACCATTATTACACTTTTGTATCATTTACCCGTTTCTTTTAGATTGTAAGCTCACATAACCAGGGCCCTCCTAAATTTCTTGTCTTGAACGGTATTGTGACAAAAAAAAAAAAAAAAAAAAAAAAAAAGTTATTCATTAATCTATAAACTGCATACCTGCTTTCAGCCAGTGATTCAAAGCAAACTGCAACCAAAAGCAACTGCCATTTTCATTCTAATGACAAATGCCCTTTTGTCAAATAGTATTATGGGAAAAAAAAAAAAAAAAAAAAAAACACCACACAGGAATCTGTCTATCCAAATAAAATTGTTAACGACTATAAGATGTTTGGTTATAGACAAGATATCAACATGTGTATGTAAAAATATAGAATTGCATCAAGAAATGCATATACTAGAGCAGGCCTTGAAATTTCCACTTGCCTGCTCGCCAATGGCGAGTGGAAATTATTATGGTGGGGGGGGGAGGGGGGGGGGGGGGGGAGTGTGTCCCCAGGGCCATCTTGCTGAGCAGGCTCAGGCCAGATCTGTCATTGGTACTGGGAACCATCAGACTGCTCAATAACTGAGCGCAGTGAAAGCAAAGGAGTGTGTGCTGTGCTCTCTGCCTCCCCCTAGAGTGCAGTACCAGGCTCTGTGAGTGAACAACAAAGTACCACAACTTTTTGTAGGGGGTGTGTATGTATGTACGTACATACATGTGTCTGTGTGTATGTATGTATGTATGTATGTACATACATGTGTGTTATGTATGTGTACATGTGTCTGTGCGTATGTATTTCTGTGTATGTACATGTATCTGTGTATGCGTGTGTACGTGCCCAGCTGCACCAGCAAACAGCAGCAGTGTACATGGAGCCCAACCTATAATGCTCTGTAATCTTGCACATGCACGTCAACCGGGCTAGGAGTGGACTTCTGGAACAGATCATACCCAAAAAAAGGTCGCATGACCCTTAAATTTAAGACAATTAAAATAAAAATTAAAAAAAAACAGGAATCTGCAGACACAGCGGATCTGACACCCTGCCCAGCTGCCTGCAGGTTTTGTTATCTGTCCTGGTAAGTGGTTTTCTCTGCACAGATGTCCCTTACTTCAGGGAACAGCCAGTGACAAAGCAGTATTATTTTTTTTTTAAAATATATAACAAACATGTAATACTTACCAGCTCTGTGTAATAGTTTTGCAGAGGGCTACCCCGATCCCCCCTTCTCATGTCCCCCGCCGGCATACCTGGCACCCCCCCTCAAACAGTGCCCCCAGAGCAAGCCACTTGCTCTGGGGGCACTGATGCATGTTTGTTCCCAAGCTGCTGCTCTGTGCATCCATAAAGACACAGAGCTGCGACTCAGCCCCCACTCTCCTCACTGGCGATTGACAGCAGCTAACCAAAACTTTATCAGCCTGTGGTGCTGTCAACCCCCTCTTTCCTGTCTGACGGATGCTCTGTATGTGCTCCTGCACTGTGCCCCAGGGGTGTCTCAGCCTAGAACTCATGAGGCTTGGATGGAATGAAAGGGAGCTGTGACTGAGCTAGGGATTTCACTCTCCTAAAAGTGTTCCAATTTCATAGCTGTCCAAGGAAAACGTCAAGAAAATAAATGTTGATTTTTTTTTTCTACATACATACCTGTAAAATCCATTTCTTGGAGTATATCATGGGACACAGAGCAGGCTATTCATGACTATGTGGGTTAGAGGCCACCTATAGGTAAATGGACACTGGCAAACCAATCAGAGAGGAGGTTCTCCCCTATATAACCCCTCCTATACAGGAAGTACTTCAGTTTATGAAGCAAGCAATGAAAAAATTCCAGAAAGAGGGGTGGGGACCTCTGTGTCCCATAATGTACTCCACAAAATGGATTTTTACAGGTAAGCATGTAGAAACAATCCAGTTTTCTTTATCGCACATCACGGGGGACAGAGCAGGCTATTCATGACTATGTGGGATGTCCAAAAGCAATAAGAAATTTGACGGGAGGGTGACACTATGATAGCCCCCGTCCATAATTCCTTTAGGATCTACTTAGCCACCCATAAAACACTGAGGCCAAAGGCAGAGTCCTCTGTGGCTCTGACATCCACCTGGTAGAACCTGGTAGCCTTGCAAACCTGAGTCACTGGCGTCTGATGGTGGATTGCCCAAGATGCCCCCACACTCCAGGAAGAGTGTGCCTTCACCCAAAAGGGTGGGATTTTACCTTTCAAACCATAGGCTTGAATGATCAATTAGCAGATCCAATGAGAAATTGTTGCCTTGGATGCTGCTTGCACCTTCCTAGGCCCCTCTATCTGCACAAATAGAGCATCTGACCTCCTGACCTGTGCTGTTGCCTTAAGAAGACACTTACAGCATGTACCACATCCAAGGTATGCAGAGATCTTTCTCTTGCTGACTGTGGCCTAGAAAATAATAAAGGCAGAACTGTCCTGAATGAGATGAAAGCTAGAAACCACCTTTGGTAAAAAGCACAGATGAGGTCATACCACCACCTTATGTTGCAAAACCATAAATGGTTCTCTGCAAGATAGAGCAGCCAGCTTGGACACCCTTCTCGCAGAAGTGATTGCCACTAAAAAAAAAAAAAAAAAACACCTTACGAGTCACCAGGACCAGTGGAATCTCTCCAATCAGTTCAAATGGTGGCTTTTGCAACAGCCCCAAAACAAAGTTCAGGTCCCAAGGACACAGAGGCAACCTGACAGGAGGAGCCATATGCATCACTCCTTGTAAAAAAAGTGCAGACCAAAGAGTGCAATGCAATGGGCATCTGGGGAAAAAAAAATTAGCTAATGCTGATACCTGGCCCTTAATGGTACCAACAGCCAAATACTTCTGCAACCCTGTTTGAAGAAACGACAGAATCCTGCCAAATCACATACTTTCATGGGTGCCATTTGTGAACCTCACACCAAGCAATGCAAGCCTTCCAGGTTCTGTAATAAATGTTCCTGGAAAATTCTTTTAGCACCCAACATGCTGAGAATGACAGAATCCAACACTCCCCTATCCTTCAGGATCTGGATTCCAATAGCCATGCTGTCAAAATTTAGTGACCGTAAAGCTGGGTGCAATATAGGACCTTGAGACAACAGGACTGGCTAATACGGCACGGCCCACCTACTGCCATCTTCACTATGTCTGCATACTAGGTACTCCTAGGCCAGGCTGGAGCAATCAGTATCACCGGAATAGACTCCTCCTGAATCCTGCGTAAGAGAAGCGGCAGCAGCTGGATCAGAGGAAAGGCATAAATATCAGTGAGAACTGGTTCCAAGGAATCACGAAGGCGTCTACCACCGATACGCGAGGGTTCCTTACCCTGGACACAAAAAGACAGACCTTGTTGTTGAACCTGGATGTCAATAGATCTACATCTGGGCAATCCCATTTCTGGCAGATTTCCTTGAAAACATCAGGATGCAAAGCCAATGCCCATGGAATCAACTGCCAACGACAAATAAACCGCCTGCCAATTTTCCACACCTGGAATGAACATTGCTGACAGACCTGGAACATATCTCTCTGCCCAGGTCAGAATGTATTTAACCTTCTGAGCACCTCGACACCTGGTACTGCCCTGGTGGTTGATGTATGGGACTGCTGTGGCATTGTCGGACTGAATCCTTACAGGCCAACCATGAAGCCTGGATGCCCAATACCTCAGAGCCAGCCTCACTGCTCAAAGTTCCAGGACATTAATGGGAAGAACCCTTTTGCATGGCAACCATGTCTCCTGAACTTTGGCCTCCTCCAGAACGGCCCCCCCAAACCTAAAAGGCTGGCATCGGTGGTTACCAAATTCCACACCACTGGCCGAAAGGATCTTCCACTCTCCAAATTGTGAGTTATCAACCACCAATTCAAGCTCTGCTGCACCTCTAGAGACAGATATGCAGTAATCCAGGGCCCAAATCTTTTTGTTCCAAACAGACAGAATGTACCTTTGCAGCAGTCTGGAGTGGAATTGAGCTTAGGGTTTAGCCTCAAACTAGGACACCATCTTCCCCATCAACCTCATATAGAGGCGAATTGAAGGATAACTCTTGGTCTTCAAAATGCAAACCTCTCCCTGGAGGCAGAAATACCTTTGCCTGAACCATGTTTAGGACCATCCCCAAATACTCTAGGCTCTGCACTGGTTCCAGGGCCGACTTATTGAGCTTGAGCGCTCAGCCCAGCTATTCCAGGATCTGCATCGTGAGGACCACATCCTGCTTCAGATTCCGCACCAACCGATTTCTGAGCAAGAGATCTAGATAACCTGTTACTGATACTCCCTGAGTTCTGAGTAGCTGCAACACCGGAAAAAATTTTTTTTGAAAACTCTGGGAGCCGTGGCCAGCCAAAATGGTAGTGCTATGAACTGGAAATGCTGAGCTCCTACTGCAATATCGCAAAAATCTTTGGTGAGGAATGAATATCGGTACATGCAGGTATACGTCCTCGATGTCTATGGATGCCAAAAAATCCCCCTCTTGTAGGGAGGGCAGTACTGACTGAACCAATTCCATACAAAACATCGGACATTTACGCCCTTTGAGAGCCAAACTAGGCCTTACATCCCCATTTGGTTTTGGGACTGTAAAAAGGTAAAACCCTGAAATTTTTCGCCTGCTGGAACCTGATTGATCACACCCTGAAATAAAAAAAAAAATAGGCAATCGAATGTCTGAAAAGCGC